GAGGGTATCTATGATGAACCCATTCCCAGGAGAGTCATTTACTTATCAAAAATCCTATTCCTAAGGGACTTTTCTGGCCAATTGTATTTGCTTCTTTTGCCTTTGTGCTTCAGAGTCACTCTGCCTGCCTCACTATTTTCTCCCCAGCTGGTTTTATGTACTGCAATTGCTAATGTTTTTCTTTTTTTGGTTTGCTATGATTAATATTGAAATATATGCCAGAAATATGCAAATATTGAACAAATATAAAAAGGTGAGTGAATATACTTTTGATAACTGTCTTAAGAAGGAGACCATTGATATCATCTGAACTACACTGGGATTTTAGACTCAGTTATTCCACAGAGAGAAAGACGTTGGATTCTAAAATTATATATAGTGAATGCTACACTCCTATTGACTTGCATTATTAATTCTAATAACAAAAATGTCATATTTTCAATGATCTTTTAAAGGGGTTTTATCATTTTCATTTGCTTCCTCTTATCTACTATCATATCTGATGGTTTGTAATTTTATACCATGCTTGCAGTAAAGAAGAATTACTATTTAAAGATCTCTGTAATTTGAATTATTCAATGTATATGTCCTTTATTGTTTTCTTGAAAAAGTCATATCTGTAATAAATATTTTAATGACATTACATCTTTGCAATTATATTCTTCAGTAAGCTAACTTAAAGCCAGAAACAATTCTTATTAATGCTATGGTCTTTGTATCTGTCCTACTACCTGGTGCATAGTAGATGCTCGATACATGGTGTGTCAGAAGATGAATAAGAATATAATGTGAGATTATGTCCTTGGCTTTATTAGTTCTACTTTTATGATCACAAAACCCTGTGCTGATGGTGCCTTGTGTGGTAAAGTGTGCCACTGCCTTATCATTCTCTGTAAAGAAGTGAGTATGTGAAGTGGGCTGGGAAATCAGACTACCAAAACCCAGAGCATTGGGTGGGCAATGAGCTAAATTGTGGTAGAGTCTTTAGTGACTATGGCTGATGTGTGGTGAGCCTGGGGAAGTAATTTTTAGAGAGAGTATTCTACATCATTTTTATGTCTATATAAAAACATTCCAGAAGTAGCTTACCAAATATGTACTACAGATTTAAAGGGCACTAGCCAATGGGGTTTGGAACTCCATGGGACTGATACCTAGGAAGGTGTTGAGTAGAATATATGAAGGAAGGAGAGTGATATATGCAGGAATTCTAGGTAATGACCAAGTTTCTCTTGTTGGTTTTAACATATGAGGTCTGTTTGGAAAAAGTCCAGGCATTGTTAATATAAAGAGAACAGTATGGACAATATTGATGTAACCTGGCAGCCAAGGGGAGTGGACTGGAATGCATTTAGGGGAAAACAATGGCTTCACTGTACTAGTCAGTGGGGGCAGTAGATGCCATCGAGTAAGCATGTGTACTGTGTGGTTGTAACATTCAAAATGGTCATAGAGCAAGGAATCTGCATCAAATTTTGCATTAAGCTTGAACATTCCTCTGCGGACATTATTTAGATAATTCAGAAGGCCACACCTATGGGCAACTGGTGATTGGCAGCTTCATCACAACAATGCTCCCGTTTGTGCATCACATCTCGTGCAGGGTTGTTTGGCAAAACATCAAATCTACCAGGTGACTCAACCACGCTACGGCCCAGATTGAGTGTCCTGCAACTTCTGGCTTTTCTCAAAACTAAAGTCACCTTTGAAAGTGAAGAGATTTCAGACCGTTGATGATATTTGGGAAAATATGACAAGGCAGCTGATGGTCATTGGAAGAGCTGTGTGAGGTCCCGAGGTGCCTATTTTGAAAGGGACTGAGGCACCATTGTCTTATGTACAATGTTTGTTGTATCCTGCATCTTCTTTAACCAATGTTTATATTTTTCACATTACATGGCTGGATACCTTCTGGACAGAACTCGTAGTTCTTAAAATAACAGGCAAAGTATCCCTAAGAAATTCTTTTACTGTTTGTAATACATTTGATAAATTTTGCATTAAATTTTATATTCCCCATATCTATGGGTATAAATGCATAAAGCATAGGATAAATATGACACTTATAGTGGTTTGCTCTGGAGAAGTTAGAAAGACTGAACTTGAGGAAATACATCAAGAAGGACTTTGGCATTTTCTACAAAATCTTTCATTAATGATAATTTAGTTATTATTTTTCATAGAACTAAATTCAATTTAAAAACTTTTTTTTTCTGATTAGCTTATGAAAAACAAAGGGGGAAAAGGGACAGGATTGCAGGCCTAGAAACTTATAAGAAAAACCTGACTTAGTTTAAAGGTTTTAGTGTCCTAGACTAAGTGTAAGAGTAGAGATGAAGAAATATTTCCATTTTAGAATAGAAACATAACATGATGCAGATTAATTGGATATAGGAGCAAAGGGTGAGTGAGCATTATTTTTTTGTCATTGGCACCTGAGAATTTTTTAAAAATTACATAATAGCAATTAGTCCTGGAAAATCTCATATTCATGAAAAAATGACTTGAATTATTCTAAGTCAAATTGGGCCCAATGAAACTTGGGATAAGTTGAGATAAGACTGAGATCTCAGGCTCCAAAATTGCCTTTTGCCTATATTTTTTGGAAAGTCAGAGCTATGATTGTTATATAATAAGAGGTAGAAAAGCTGGCAGCTAAGACAAACTTCTTACTTTATACATGCCAAACATTGAATTGAATGACTTATCACGGAAATTCAGATGATCTGACTATTTAATAGTCCATTATGTTCAGTTCATATTGACAACTATCACTCAGTATCTGTTAAGTGAAAGGTATTCTTTTAGGTATTGTAGCAGCACCAAAGAATTAAAGGTGTTTATTTTTACACAAACATACATTTTATTTCTTTGTGTTTTTATTGTTGTTCTGTTACAGTTGTCCCCATTTTCCCCATTGCTCTTCCCCACCCTGCCAAACCTCCACTCCCCAAAACAATCCTTGCCCCATTGCCTTGTCCATGGGTCCTCTGTATATGTTCCTTGACTTGACACTTCCTTATCTTTCCCCCTTTATCTCCTCTCTCCTCCCTTCTGGTCCTTGTCAGTTTGTTGTTTATTTCCATGTCTCTAGTTCTTTTTTGCTCATTTGTTTATTCTGTTGACTATGTTCCATTTATAGATGAGATCTTGTGGTGTTTGTCTTTCACTCCTTGGTTTATTTCACTTAGCATAATACTCTCTGCATTTCCATCCATGCTGTCATGAAGGGTAAGAGCTCCTCTTTTCCTTCTGTGGCATAGTATTCCATTGTGTAAATGTACCATAGTTTTTTGTTCAGCTCATTTACTGCTGGACAGTTAGGCTGTTTCTAACACTTGGCTATTGTAAATAATGCTGCTATTAACATAGGGGTGAATAGGTTTTTGGACTGGTGTGTCAGGATTCTCAGGGTATAATCCCATCAGTGGAATTGCTGGGTCAAAAGGCAGTTCCATTTTTAGTTTTTTTGAGGAAATTCTATACTGTTTTCCACAGTGGTTGTACCAGTCTTTATTCCCACCAATGGTGTACTACTGCTCCCTTTTATCTGCAACCTCACCAGCACTTGTTTTTTGATGATGGCCATTCAGATCAGTGTGAAATGGTGTCTTACTGTGGTTTTAATTTGCATTTCTCTGATGGCAAATGATGTTGAGCATCATTTCATTTGCCTATGGGCCACCTGTATGTCCTCCTTGGAGAAGTGTCTGTTCAGGTCCTTTGCCCATTTTTTAATTGGATTGTCTTTCTGGTGTGGAGTCATGTGAGTTCTTTATGTATTTTGGAGATGAAACTGTTGCCGAAGGTATCATTGGCCAATATATTTTCCCATACAGTTGGTTCCCTTTTCATTTGGCAGATGTTTTCTTTAGCTGTGCAGAAGCTTTTTAATTTGATGTAGCCCCATTTATTTATTTTTTCTCCTTTATTTCCTTGTCATAGGGGATATATTGGTGAAACATTGCTAGGTGGGATATCTGAAATTTTCCTGCCTATGCTCTCCTCTAGTACTTTTGGGTGTTATGTTTTATATTTAAATCTTTTATTCATCTTAAGTTTACTTTGGTGTATGGTGTTTGTTTGGTGGTATAGTTTCATTTTTTGCATGCTTCTGTCTAGATCTCTCAGCACCATTTATTGAAGAGGCTATTTTTACTGCATTTTATGCTCCTACCCTCTTTGTTAAAAATTAATTGACCATAGGACATTTTTTTAATTTGAGAAATTTAAAGTTTTATGGAAATACTACTGCTACTACTATTACTACTACTACTACTACTACTATTTATATAGAACCTATAGTCCAAAATACATAAATGAAAAAATAGAGCAAGATCATTATAAAATGCAAATTATGAGAAGGAAAGATCAGATATCATTGAAACAATCATATAATTTAATGAAGAAGATATTTAAGGGTGAGCTTTGACATGTAAGTAGAATTTCAAGGTGGAGTGGGTGTCAAGGTTGCAGTGAATTTAATAGTGAAGCCCACTTTTAAGAAAGGTGCATGATAGAGCAGTTAGCAGACTGGTTTTCTAGACTACAGAGTATGTAAAAAGAGAAAGAGGTAGATTAAAATTTAAATGAAAGGTGAGCCCAAATTTTGGAGTACTTTATCATAGGCCGTTCTGTTTCATTTATTTGTTGGATGAGAAATAAACGTGGAAGAGATGCTTATTGGTTTGCTTATAAATTTTATTTGAGCTAGGTATTTGGAAAGTTATTTAAAAGTGAATGACAGTAGTTTGGGGCAGAAACAGCAGAGAGATCAGTTAATCATTTATAGGAATAGGGTAACTGAGTAGTAGTGAGAATCTGAGTTAGTATTTTCGTATAGAATATATAAGATTGCCTTAGGTAGAATTAGCTACATTGTAGAGATATTTGAATTTGGGCAATGTTTAGTTCCACCCAACTCTAAAATTGCGTGGGTTTATAACTCCAATATCTGACAAATTTTCATTTTCTTTGAGTTTTAATGAGAACAACAATTGTTAAGTATGAGTTCTCTTAAAACATACAAGTTTGAATATAGCTTTTTGAATCTGCTTTGTCTTCACACTATAGATGATGGGATTCATCACAGGGGGAATGAGCAAGTATACATTAGCAATTAGTGTGGGCACATAGGGTGGAGCACGTTTTCCAAATCTGTGAACGAAAGACAGGCTGATCAAAGGGATGTAGAATATGGCCACAGCAGTGATATGAGAAATGCAGGTGCTGAAGGCCTTTTTCCTCTCCTCTGGGGATGCAATGTTGAGAACCGAACGAACGATCAAGATGTAGGAAAGCAAAATAAAGATAGAGTCTACCCCAGCGGTAGAGATTATTGCCGTTAGTCCAAAAGCACTATTGATCTTTGTATCTGAGCACGAGAGCTTCATCACATCAGGGTGGAAGCAATAGGAGTGATGGAGTACGTGGCTGTGGCAGAATGATAGGCGCTTAAGAAGTAGGACTAGTGGTGTCAGAATGATAGTCCCCCTGGTAATGACTGCCAAACCAATCTGAGCAATCCTTGCATGAGTTAGAATGGTAGCATATCTCAAGGGGTTAGAAATGGCCACAAAACGATCAAAGGCCATAGCCAGGAGCACTGAGGATTCCATGAATGTGAAGAGGTGAATGAAGAACATCTGTGATAAACAGGCATTGAAGCTGATCTCCCGTGCATCGACCCAGAATATTCCCAGTACCGTTCCCAGTGTAGAGAGGCATAAACCAATGTCAGTGGTGGACAACATGGAGAGGAAATAGTACATGGGCTCATGGAGGCTTTGCTCAGTGAGGACAATGAACAGGATGAAGGTGTTCCCAGAGAGGGCAGTTAAATAGAGGCAGCAGAAGGGGATGGAGATCCAGGCATGAGCCCATTCAAGTCCAGGGACCCCAGTCAAGAAGAAGATAGGGAAAGTAGAGTTATAGTAGGTTAACATTATGGTCTGAAGGAGCTGAATTCTCTTGCAAGATCTTGACTTTCTAAATTGAGAATTTAAAAATTATCTTTAGTTGAAGTTTGGATTACATTTAGTTAACAAAACTTTAGAGCGCAGCTCAATGAAGTTTGATATCTATATGCACTTGAGTAACAACTTCCAAAATTAACTGAGAAAACATTACCACCAACCCAGGAGACTTCCTAATGTCTTATGCTCATCAATATCCTCTTCTATTGTAATCATTCTTGTGTTTTTTGTTACCCTAATTTCCTTTCTCTGTTCTTGATATAAATAGAATCATGTAGTACATGTTATTTGCATTTTGCTTCTTCCACTCAATATTATTATCTGTAGGATTTGTCACTGAAGTAAGATATTAAATAATTTCAATTTACTTAGCTAAATGTATTTGGTGTTTACCACTTATTGTCTTGTACTCTTATCAATATTTTTAATTACATTTTATCCAATTGAATTATCAATTTTTACTTAATATATTCTCATGAGAATAAGGGATTATTTTTAGCTAATTGCTTAGTAGAATTTTTTGCTTATAGTAGGTGGTGAATATGTTTTTTTTCTAATTAATTTATATCTTATTTGCCATTTCTGGAATTTTCTATTTAACCATGAGAAGGACTTGATCTAAAAAATAATGGACTAATTTTGCCTTGGAAATTCAGAACTATTAAAATCAGATTCTAAGTGAAAATTCATTTTTAACAGCGGGAAACCATCTCTTTTCAGGAAATTCACTTCAGATATTATTACAAAAATTTAGTATGTTTTTGGAAACAAATAAAACCCAAGGATAGAATTAAAAGTACAGGGACAGTCCTAGGTAAACATTTAGTTAAGTATAAAAGAAACCTCTTAAACCAGTAGTAATAGAGTAATTCAATACATGGAGTTGGGTAAGCTCTATTTGAAAAAAAAAATAATAATAAAGCATATACCACAATATACATTTAAATTATTTCCTTATGGTTAAATATTTACTTATGAATAAATTCCACATACTATGAATTAAACTCAGGGAAATATACAAACCTTGAACGAGAAAGAATTTTCTAACAATAACACAAAATATATAAACCATAAGGGGAAAGAGTAACATATTTGATTTGACCAAATACAAAGAATTGTTGTATGGTTTAAAAATCTTTATTAGAGGGATACTTACAAATTGGGAGACATACTTGAAGCATATACAACATTCAGTCAAATAATGTGCTTACCATATAACAGTAAAGAAAATAAAAAATGAGCAAAAGACATTAAAATAGAATTCCCCAAAGAAGAACTGCTAGTAATACAGGAATAATATTTGTTTTTACCATCAGCCAAAGGAATACTAATTAAAACAATTGTTTTTAATTAATTAACAATTCATAAGGATTGTTGGACTAAAAGAAAACTTCTCTCTTACAAGGTGGAGAGAGGTTAGTAAAAGGTCCATTTGTTATTGTTTGTTCAAAAATTAAAGACTTAATTTCTTTTGAATTAACAATTTAATTTCCCAGAAATTACCAATAGTGATAAAAATGGCCACTGCTGCCAGTGTGCATATGTATCAATAATTCCTTCAATAATTTGATACTGTGTGTATTTTATGCACTTAACCCTAAAAAATAACCTTTTTATTTTCAAGGTTATATATTTGTAGACAGATTAATATAGCATATATAAGATTGTGCTATATTCCTTAAATTTGAAACTGGCCTTATTCCTTTAAAAAGCATGGAGCTACTGTTTATTGAGAGATAAATGATATCCATGTTTTCAGTTTATTAGTTTCCTTGACATTTTCAAATGAGTTAGGAAATTCAGAAAATTCATTTCTACATTTTATTCTGCTGTTTTGTTTCTTCATTTAATTCAAGACTGCTTTAAAGCATCTCTAAAAAAAAAATAAGAAAGATTTCTACTCTGACAGAAACACACATGCAAGTTCACCAACTTGCCCAAGGTTTGTTTCTCAGCATCACTGTGTTGTCTAGAGTGGACAAAGAAGTTGAGTTCAGAAACTGGGGGGCTAGCATGTGCTTGGCATCAGGCAGGGCCAGATAGTCTGGGATTGATCTTCGTTTTGTGACCTCCACCTCCCAGTCAACTTCATTCTATTAGACTCAATTTCTATAAAAAAAAAAATGTTGGGCTGTGTAATTGGACATCACTTGGAATATGTACCAGAGGTTTTAGAAAAAGAAGGCAAGTAGCTTTATTCTCATTTAGTTTCTTAGAAGTATGACTAATCAAGAAAAGGGTAAAACATCTCTAATCTTTTAGAAAGAAGAATATGAAGTCTGGTTTTCTAGATTACTAGTCATCTCTCATAAAAAGGAAGGTCTGGAGATATAGCCTGCTGCAGGGAAAAATCAGTTACCATCAGATGATGATTTGGCTACACAGTGGATACCAACACAATCTCTGGAATGACATAATGATTTCCCTGTGATGGAAAATGCCATGAATTTAAGTAATTAAATGTGTTTACTTAATTGATTCATCTATTCTCAGAGAACGATTTAAGAGAGTCCTTCATTATATGTTCCTCAGTTTAGAAACAGTGTTTGTCAGATGACACAAAGTAAACCACTTACATGGAGGTGAAGCTGTGACCATACCCTATGAATGTGCTGACGTGAGGCACTGCAGTCTGTGTCTGCGAACTGGATTAAATATAAACTAGATGAAAGTTTGGAAGATAAATGAAAGGATAGTTTTAACATTTTTAGAGAAAAGAGGAAGTAATATTGAGCTAGGTTCTCTGCTAGATATTTTTACATGCTGTTGCTTTAATTTAACAACAACAGTAGTAGACTTTGACTAACATTCCTAGTTTTAAGGTGAGATGACCTAGGTTCAGAATGACGAACTTATTGAAGGTCCCCATTGATGGATATAATGGAGCCAGAGTATGTATCCTGGGCTTTCTGACTCTGAAAGTATTATCACTTTACTGTGCACACTACTATTGGTGTTCAGACAAAGTTAAAAGGAAATAAAGCAGATTCCTGCATACCAAAACAACTGAATGGGATAAATGTGCTGCAGTAAGTGTAAACCATTAGAAATTGAAGTTAAACAATAGTGAGGATGTGCCAATGATTGTATTTTGGGTTTGGTTATTATATGTGTCAGAAAATACATACAAATAAGTAGCACAGTTTTTGCTATGATTAGCTAAACAGATGAAAACAAAACATTTATATGAGATTTGGAGTTTCTTTTCTTAAATTTTATTTTTCAATTACAGTTTACATTCAGTATTATTGTGTAGTAGTTTCAGGTGTACAACATAGTGGTTAGACTATCATTTACTTTACAAAGGGGTACCCCTGTTACTTCCAGTACCCACCTGGCAAGCATACACAGTTATTACAATACAATTGACTATATGCCCTGTGCTCTCCTTTATATCCCTGGGACTACTTTGTGACTGCCAATTTGTAGTTGTTAGGGATTTGGAATTTCTTAATAGGTTACCAGGTCCATGCAAGTCAGCACAACAGTGGAAAGTAAATATAATCAGAAGCTTGGGGGGTTTGGAGATCAGAGACTAGGGGAAACAAAGGAGAGGGTCTTACCTGTCAAGATGTGGAAAATTAGAATGGATACAAATATAGATATTGAAGGAGCAATGCCAGAAGACAAGGTGAATTATTGTCATTAACATCACTTCCAAAAAATTCTTCCTGTTTATCTAAGCCAAATTACTTGTGATGCAACTTAAAGGCACCAGAAACATTTTATTCTAGACACAAACAAGTACTGTTTCTGATCTGAGAGTAGTTACTTACCTTGGCCTTTAGACAGGGAGGAGAGACCCCTCTTGCCCTTATTTAGAATAGGTTAAAGGAAATCACCCATTTACCTCTATGAATGGAAAATTTTTATAAGGGACCATGATGGTGTAACCATTTATCCAGCTGACGTCATTGTACTCTTGGGGGATTCCTGTGCCATTCTGTTGTGCTTCATCTGTCTGTCCCCTGGGTGAGTTTACTGGCACCAGAAAAAGTGGATGCTCAGATAAGTGGAAAAGAGCCAAACAAATATCAACACAGTGACACAGTAACTCTGTGTTTACATGTTTAATTGAAAATAAAATTGAATCATTACTTTGAACATGGATACAGCATTTATTCCTGAATTTCATTCTGTTATGTGTTTCTCATAAATAATCTATTAAAAAGACTTTTGTGTATAACTGCGTGGAATGACAGATGCTATGAAAGTATCTCCAGGCAGTAGTATAATTTCAGGTATATGGTACATATGCATTAAATGTTGTTAAAGTGAGCCAATGGATTTCTACAAATCTGAAACTAGCAGCAAAATATAATTACGAAGTCAAGGAGTTCCATAGGGGTTCCCTTTGAAGAGAAGAAAATATATTTCACAACATTGTTACTGAACAGCACTTGGGGTGCTCATAAATTCTAGAAGCAGCAATTTGGTGAAAAAGGAAAGGAGTCATTCATTTAAAGGTTATACAATTTTGGAAGAATACTGGGCTTCTGCCTCAAAGCCCATACCCTGTAAAACCCCCAAGGACAAATAACCTTGCCACCCTCTTTTGCCATCCAGACCAGATCTAGGCTGCACCCAGAGTTCCTTCTCCCATTAAAAAATACCGTCCTTTGGGAAACACAGATGCACCGGTGCAGCAGGATTATCCAGGCAGTGTGTCGGCGGGGGGAGGGGTCCCACCTGCTGCCTGCTGCCCTTTCCTCCTGTGGCTGCTCACGGGCCCAGTGCCTGCACCATGTTCCTCCAGCTGTTGGCTCCCCAGTGGGTCTGCGTGCCTGGCCGGGCAGAACCACACAGTGCAGCTCCAGTCACCGGTGCCATCACTGCTTCTCCTCCAAGGAGAGGTAGGAGGGTTATTGGTTGGTCACGTGGCTTCCAGAGCCCGCTGGCCTGGAAACACTCAGACTCCTGACCCCAAACTTGGCTGGCAGGGAAAAGAAAAAACAGGTGAGTGCCAGTACACCCTCCGTTTAAATCTCCTGCCTCCAAATCCTGTGCACTGGGAAAATGTTCAGCTTGCTTGCAAATCCAGGCTAACGTCCATCACGGTCGTCAGTCAACCTGCATCTGTGTGGAGTGGAGCTGTCGCCGTGTTCACCTCCAAGATACAGGTGTGCTGTGACCTTTTCAGCCTTGCATAATCTGTGAAAGCTTCCTCTGGTTGTGTCACAAGACATGCTAGTTGTCTACCCTTCCCTGCGGGAGTCCGTCACGTGGTTTTGGCTGCGATTTCAATCCTGCTGCCGTTGGTGCTTCCCCACCCCCTCTTCGGGTTTCCTTTCTTCTGCCCAGCGATCTGGCCAGATCCCCTCCGTTACAACATGGCAGATCAAGTGGAAGTAACTTCTAGGAAAGAAAAATAAGTTGGTTCTCGAGGTTTATACTTACATCTGTATAATGATTAATGGTTACAAAGTATTATCAGGTGCATTATCTTATTGAGTCTTGGTTGTTCAGGCTAAAATAAACATGTTTTATTTACCTGGCGTTCATTTATAAACACAGTGCTTTACACAAAAGCAGTGGTTAACAGTGTTTATTGAGTTAATTTATCCCTTATTCTTGAAGATTTAATTCACAGTGCAGAAAAGAGAATCACATAAACAAGCAAAACAGAAGTCATTTTATTCAATTCTGTTTAGTTGATGGTTAGGTCAACTAGTTAATAAAGTCAGTTACGTATATAAGTCATAAAAATAATTTTAACCTACACTGAATATTTTCTTTTGACCTAAAACATATATATATATACACATATATATATGATTTATTTGTCATCATTTGATATAGAGTTAGGGGCTTCTAATGTAGTTCTGTAAATTGAAATGTCATATTATCTTCCTTTTGTAAACTGTATTTTAATATTCTGTATGCAATTTCCATTACAATAATTATAATGACTGAGAAAAAGCAAGTAGGGTACAATTCGCTTATTGGGGCATTGAGGACTTGTTAATTAGACAATGAGCTATGAGTATTCCAACCGGCTGCTAGCATCAGTCAATTTGTTTTACAGGAGGAATAAACATTTCTGATTAGTTTAGCAAGCTTATTCAGTGGAACTTGCATAGAAGTCTTAAGTATTTTATTGCAGTATGATTGACATATAAATGCAGTATACATAGCGTGCACAACTTGATGAATTTGAAGATAAGTTTACAACTATGAAACCATCAAGGCCATAATCATATTCATCATCTCCCTGTTTCCTCCTACCCCCTCTATTATTATTCATTTTTTGTGGTAAGAACACAACATAATATTTACCCTCTTCGCAAAATTAAGTATATACTACATTATTCTTTGAAGACAATAGCAGTGAAACTTACATTCTTTGACACTGATTTGTATAATTTTACACAATGTTTTGTTCATAATTTATTTTTGTTAACTGTAGTATCAGTTTATACATTTGAAAGAGATTCCAGATATATTTATAGGGCTTGAATTGAACACTCTGACATTAAGAGTTCTCATACAAGGAAGCATGTGGGAAAAAAAGCTAAATATAACTTAAGGAAAAATCACTAATTGGGAACAATTTACTGGTTTAATTGATATCTAGACAAACACAAGACTCTGCCAATATGAGGCTTCTCTATAAAGGAAAACATAATATTTGGCTGTGTATCTTGACTTTTTCTATGAATGTAGCTTTGCTAAGCCTATAAAATAATCTGCATCTTTTACTCAACTACCTGAGATACACACCCAACCTTTTGGATAAAATCCCCCATGAGTGTAGGATGTTAAACTTAATACCACAGGAAAACTACAAGTAAGAGAGCAAGAACACATGTATGTGAGAACTCATTATTCAGCCAAGAGAAAAATGGGAACCATTTAATAGATATGAAACTGACCCATTTCTTGGGGAAAAGTTAGTGAGTCGCTGAATACAGATGGATTCGAGAGTGGATGTCATCCTCCCTATGGGTCATTGCAGTAAGGAAAAAACAGAGTTCAGCAGAATGGGGCACAGATTCCTTCTGTCTTCATTGTCACCACAGTTATTCCAGTGAACATCTGTTCGCTTTCCTGTCTTCCCAGCACACTGATAATCCAGAGACAATGGCATGCACCTCTCTATCCCCCAGTGACACAGCAATGTCTAAACATTCATTTATATGGAGAATTTGGTTTCTGTGCTTGACCTTTAAGGTCCCTGTGGACTACTTGCCACTTGAGCGGGTAGCTGAAACTCTTCTGAGATTACACAGCATTGTCCTATATTTATAGAAGGAAAGTTTTTCTCTTTTTATGGCTCTAGGGAAATTTAAATTTTACCAAGAGCCTCACAGCTTATATGCCACTTTACTATAAAGTTCATCTGTAACTTGTTCTTGCTCTGGTAGTGAAGACAGAAAAGGCTCCATATGAAGATGGTAAGGAGGAGGTAGAGAAAGGTGTTAATTGTGTTGATGTTGTGCTCTGTCATTATTCACAAATATTCACATGGGCTTACAGAAAAGTCAGATAATGTCAAGGTCCTCCTTATACTTAGGGATCCACATAACGTGTGGGTATCTGGACACGACTAGATTAAAGTAGAGTATTGTAATAATTTTTCTCCACTTGAATGAAAACCCTGGGAACTGCAGATTAAAAAGAATCTGTAGAAACTTGCATAAAGGGAATGAACGTGTAAATTTATTACAAGGTATTTACTCTCAGGAAGTTAACTTCACCTAGTATTTTAAAGATGTTGCTTGAAAAATATTAGTATTATAATAACTAATACTGCTATTATTTTATTTTGTTTTCCTAAAATTGTTTTTAATAATGTAAATGTATTTTAAATATTAATTTTAAATTTGTAATTGAACAAGACTTTATAACATTTGTGCGTGTATTGATTCAACAGCCTCTTCTATTCTCTGCAATATCTACTGAAAACCTCTACGTTGTCTTTTGATCTGCATCCATCACTTCATACTTCTTGAACAGGATTTAATTTCCCCTAATAATTCACAGGAAGAAATAGGAAATGGTTATAAAGGAAGAAAATTCTAATGTATGATATAACCTTCTTGACTCTTCAAGACATAATGCTAAGTGAAATAAACCATCACAAAAGGTAAAATACTATATGATTATACTTACATGAGTTACTTAGAATAGTCAAAATCATAGAGAGATAAAATGGAATGGTGGTTGCCAGGGGCTGTGAAAGGGGCCGAGTTTCACTTTTATAAGATGAAAAGATGTATTAAAGATGGATGGTGGTATTGGTTGCACAACATTATGAATGCATTTAATATCACTGAACTGCACACCTAAAAATGGTTGAGGGAAAATTCTATGTTTGGTGTATTTGACCACAATAAACAATTTTCTGAAAAAAAAAAGTAGCACTGGGTGATATTTCCCTTTTATAACCTTCCACCAACCTACTCTTTTGCCACTTACTAGTGTCCAGAGAAATGATGATCCTCATCTGTTTGAGAGCTAATTACTGTTATGCTTTATATTCAATCACCCACTACTTTCTTAAGGAATTTGCTACATCAATTAATCCCCAGCATTCTGTATTTCCAGTCTCTCACTGTGATTGTATGTATTTTTAACATCAGTTTGGAAATATGTACATTTGTTTAGCTTTTTCCAGTTCTTAGAAAAATCTTACATTCACCTTAC